CTTTTAGTTTAAAAATTATAAAAACTGAACAGTATTTTTACAGTCTTTATTTTACAGTTAAAGTATATGTTTATCATATAAAGTCTAATGTTACAACTAATCAGGGATCCCTTTAACAAAACTTGTTAATATGTACTGTCCAGTCAATGAATTAGTTGGTTCCAAATAAACCATCTGAACAGACAGAGAGCTTTATTGATTGGATCTGACTCTACCATCACATCAGGTCACAAACAGCTTCATGAACACCTGATAATAAAGAAGCTACATGCCAAGTTGTATTCATTTTGTACCTGATGCTTCATTTTACAAACAACAAGGAGAATACAAGCAAAGAAAAAGAGGACATTACTCACTGAAGAGTCACCATTAATTTTTGTTGCAATTATTTCTCATTTACCTGCTGAGCTTTAAATGACCTGCTGGTCATCACTAGAATGACCCGATCCAGGTTTAGCGTCGAGCAGTTCATCACTGTCTGAACTATTACTTGAACTGTTCAGCATTTTCAGCTGTTTTTTTAAGCCAAGGGTTTTTTGACACTCAAAAGTGCGTTTGTTAAAAACATTGAATATAAAGTCCACTCTCATCTTTGTTCAGAAGCACTTCCCTGATTATTTCTTGCACATAGATTTATGCCTCAAATTAGTTTTATAGGTGGTGTCGGCTGTAGAAGGAAAAAGAAGAAGAAAACAGCTGAATGGGTCGCAGTTTGAGGAGCAGTAAACTGATGGCAGCAGAAAGCATAAATCACTTTTTGACACGTTAGTTTTCCTGCCGCCTCTTCCACCACATGGAGCTACTTCAGCAGTGATCATCTGAATTTTGTTCTGGGCGAATCACTGAATTATGGGCTTTACCTTCTCCAGCCTTCTCCATGGAGCCTCCTCTATGTACACTTTGGCCCTCATCACATGATTGAAGGAGGTGAGAAAATGATGGCAGATATCCAGTGAGAACTGCTCAATGGTTTTTACCTGAACAGACAGTAAAAGGATGTAAAAAAACAGAACTCTGCAGCAGTTTATTTCTACAAATAGGGTGTGGAAATGAACCCCTCCATCCTGTTTCAAATTAAGCAGCACTTATTTTAAAGCCTTGAAGTTATACATTTCTCACGTTTAAAACATTTTCACAAAAGACTTCGTTCTAGAATAACTTAAACTGATTCTGATGCACATTCATATTATCTGTATAAATTCTGCTGTTTTTACTTTAAGGCTACAAGCTGAGATTTGTTTTCTTTTCCTGTGCAGCTGGACTCACCCCTTTGATTTTGGCCAGACCATGGACAGTGTTCTTGATGGTGTCTGTGGGAATGATGTCAGAGTTGTCCCCAGTCAGATAGTCCTTGCGAGACCTGAGCGTGAGCTCCACGTTGGCTTTCAGCTCCACGATGTCGTGGTAGTTCCCCCGCCTCTTGATGAACAAGACCCTCACGGCGTTCTTGCCATAGCCTGTTCGGACAAACTCCACGTTCTGTTACGACAAGAAGTACCGTCTGTGTTTCTGTGGCAAAAACGGCATCTCCACCAACTTTCTGTTGGTCTGATCKGTTTGTTTTATTGGACTTTCAGTTACAAACTCAGCTCATTTCTATCAGTTTGTTAAAAACAATGAAGAAAAGAAATATTGAATCTTTTATTACAGGCATTTGAACTCTTTTGATACAATTAGTGTTTGACTTGGGTTCTCAGGTTGAAAAACTGCAGGTTATGCTTTAGCCTTGTGGTCACTGACCCCAGAAATGAGGTAAAACTCCAGTGCTGAACAATTAAGAGTACATTTAACCTAAAAACTAAAATTAATCCGACTGGCCTGTTTCACCTTTTTTACACACATATTTATAAAAGTTTACCTGATGTGCTGCAGATGCCATGATGCTTTCGTCTCCTTAAGTTGGTTCCCAACAAAAAAAGAACCTTTTGATGATTGAGGAATWTTTGGAAAGGAGGGTGTCACCACCTTTGAATGCACACTATTGGATGTTTGCRGGTGGAGTTCAGCCCATTTTACTTGTACGCAATCTGGCGCTTAAACATGCAGAATCACACCAGATCTGAACTCTCCATGGTGTTCTGTGAAGAAGTGGACCAGTTTCTCACTAAGGACCCTGTTATGGTAATTATTTATTTAACAAAGACAGAAATACACCGGTCAAGAATGAAGGTACTCCGTGAGATG